TGCAATTTGGGAGTCTTTTAGATAGACCCATTAAAGGGGTACTCCAGTTGCCCCACCCTGCATCCCTGTTCAGCATGGAAGAAGCCAGAGTGGTCTGCGTCCCTATTCCCTATTGGCAATTTGGGTAACCCCTTCAGAGGATGGCATGATAAGAATAGGAGGTAGGAATTGGCTAGGCAGTTAGGGTAAAAAGACCCCCCCAAAATGTAGACAGTTTCTGGGCTAAAAGTCAAAATGTCCTTGGGCCTGTTCCAAAGGCCAAAAGGGTCAAAACGTCAAAAGTATTTGGGAGCTCGTACCTAATCCGTAAAAGATTTTAGGGTTACCTCTTCAGAGGGGGGAGGGAGTGGGCATGGATTTGATCAAAACACCTTATATGCATGTATGAAATTTTCAATAAAGTTTTTTTAAAAGTTAAAAAAAATAAGCTGAACCTTTCCAAATATTGTTTGCGTTGCTTTTGCTGTAACAACATTAGCATTTATGCGGTGTTTCTCTGTTAATAAGATATTTACAAACATTTTTCTCATAACTGTGTGAAATCTTTCAGACATAGAGAAAGGAAAGTTCCCTGATCTCTGTCTGCTCTTTTGCACTTCATGCTGGCTCAAATGTGGTGCCCACAGAGACCTTCAAAACCGTGGCATGAGTCGGTGCAGCTCTTTCAACCTGACCCCCGATGATGGGGTGGAGATCACACACCGTTGTGAGTTGTCCAACCGTTTTTTTACTTCAGGCAGAAGTTACTTTCTTCTTGCCCTTTAAAACACAGGGTTGTAGACACTCTCAGTGACTTCATCTGCGCCTTACCCTTTGCCTTCCACTTCTACATACCGTTCGTTATTACTCTGTCCAATAAACCGTGCGGAGGGCAAGCCAGTATTTGTCTCAGACTCTGCAAACAATTTGTTTCTGTTGGAGATTCCTGTGGCTTTTTTTCACTGCTGTTCAATAGGTTACTTCCTTCTGTCGGCTCATTTCCATCTGCACCTTTGAGGTTCACGATATTCTCCTCCTGTATTTAAAATAAGTTTTTAAGATCCTTAAAACAGTATGTTTTTGTACATCTTTATAGCTATTGGTTTATTTCACTTAAAATAAAATTGCCACTATTAGAATCAAGGATAATTGTTTATAAGGAAAGCATAAACTTTATCGCTTATAAATCCTCTAGTTCTTGGAGCAAGAACTATAAAGAGTATTTAGTATTACTTTTAGAATTTTATTTTTTTTAAACTTCTTTTTTAAAATTTTATTATTTTTATTTTATGTGCATGCGTGTATTGCCTGCATGTAGGTAAGTGCACCCGTGTCGGGCAATGCCCACGGAGGTCAGAAGACGCTGTCGGATCCCCTGGGACTGGAGTTACAGACAGTTGTTAGCAGCCATGTGGGTGCTGGGATTCGAACCTGGGTCTTCTGCAAGAATGGTCAGTATTCGTAACCACTGAGCCATCTCTCCAGCCCCTACTTTTAGAATTTTAAATGCTTGAGTCACATAAACGTAAAATTATGTTTTACGATACTGGGACCCAAAATTGGTATAGTTAAGACATAGTTCAAGATGATAGTGGGTACACATAGCAAAGTGGTTCAAGGAGAGAGGGGGAGGGAGAGAGAAAGAGAGAGGGAGGGAGGAAGGTAGGGAGAGAGAAGGGGGGTGGAGAATCCTAAGACTTAGGTCAAGAACACAGAATTTTATAATCTGTCTATCTTCTCAGTCTCAGACAGGGCTATATGCTAATGACCTCAGGTGGGAAACTGGAGCCACACCTACCCTGGACTTTTTGGGTGCAGGGATTAAGGAAGGGAAAAATTGTTTTTCTTTGGGGTGGCGGGGGTAGAGTCTCACTATGTAGTTTCTGATCCTACCACATCACTCCTGAGTGTGTATCACAGGAGTGGGCCACCATGCCCCTCTGGGAGAATTGTTAATTGACTGGTAAGAGTGAGGAGAAATAATTCTCTGGTAGCTTTCAAATACTTAAAGAATTAAGGAAGCAGTGGGGATGTTCTGCTTTTAACTGGAGAGTTTACCTGTGATTCTTGATGCACAGAAGCTGTGTGACTGGTCTCTATAGATGGCTCTGAGCATTGACATTCAACTGTCTTGCCTTCATCCCCCATGGTTTATAATTTTAAAGATGATGATTCAAGGAAGAGGAACAAAATCTGTTTTGAAGGAGAAACAGCACAGACACAGAGTGGTCATTTGAAAATCTTTGGAAGTAAATTAGTAAATTGCACTTATTTCTTCACTTAGAACTCTGAGGCGTGACCTGCGTTGTCAGACTACTCTTACCTTTCCATTGCTGTCCTGTCTTTGATTCCAACATATTAATCTTTATTCTTATCTGCCTTTTGGTTGTCCTTGAAATAAAGCCTTGTTGAGCAATAATATTTTAATTTCTTTCCCACTGTTCTTGTGAGTTATGCTTTGAAACATGCAGCGCGATATCACTGTTAGATATCATCCACAAACAGGGAGCTCCAGGTAACTTTCCAGTGTTGACAGGAGGAATGATTCACTAGAGGAAACTCCTGATTCTAGGGTCACCTATCCTGCATACTCTATGTTTCTGTACTGTTAAGGTTGTTACAGTAAGATTTTCTCATGTAAAACTTTAAGTACATTTAGGAAGAGAATCTATATACTCTCTAAAGGTTTAGAGGAAAGAAAATTATACATCTTACCTTTGCAATAATACATTTCTTGGATGCATTCTGCAATTTGATTTTCGATAACCTGATACCATGTGTCACAATTTAAGGTTATGTCTGGTTTTGTGAATTTCAGAGAAGATGGGGGAAGTACCTAGGACTCTTTTATAGCCGTTTTCAAATATTTCTAAGGCAGAAATATTTCATTAAATGAAACCAAATCTTAAACTATAACAAATGGACCAGATGAAGGTGAGGCCACAGGGTGCTTGTATTTTCTCCCCTTCTCTACTGGCAAGAGAAGCACATGTTGAAAATTACTCTATGAATATACTTTCCATCAAGTCAAATATTTAATAAACCAGCCTTCCCTTCTTCAAGTTACTTCTTAATCCAATCTAAATGTTTAGGTGCTCTCTGTAATATTTAAAAGCACAAGAAAGAAGCTATAAAGTTGCAAACGTCCATAGGCTCTGGGTCAAGTTAAACATGCTTACTCCAGTGAGTTCAGTTACTGCCAAAAGATCACTGTGTGGATAAAGACTGGTTTTTTTTTCCCCTTTTAAAAAAAGATTTGACTTTTATTTTTAAAAATGTGTGGGCGTGTATGCACATGAGAGCAGGTCCCCGCAGAGGTCAGAAGGTGGTGTCAGATCCCTTGGAGCTGCAGTTACAAGCCGTTGTGAGTCATTCAGGGAGGGTTACTGAACGACTTCCAAAAAATCTACATCTCTTACTGCTATCCCTTTTGCCATAAGTTCCAAAATATGGATTTTGGAGGAATATATGCATTATATATGAGAGTTAACAATACATGTAACTTCTCAATAAGATTCCTTCATTAAACTTTGATCTATCTATGTCACAGGCAACAAGTGTATTGTTATACATGGCAGCCTACAACCTTCCATAACTCCAGTTCCAGGGGATACAATGCCCTCTTCTGGCCTCCATAAGCATTGCACAACATGACATGGGTGCACTTACATACATGCAGGCAAAACACTCATACACATTGAATAGAAATGAATATTTTTTAAAGAAGATAAAGATGGGACTGGAGAGATGACTCAGTGGTTAAGGGCCTTTACTGTTCTTGCAGAGGGCCTGGGTTCAGTTCCCAGCACTCACAGCAAGCAGGTCACAACTGTCCTTTCCACATACACTGTTTCTACACAGTGTAAGAAAAGAATGTACGAGGTGGGTTTGGTGGCACATGCCTTTAAACCCAGAACTCAAGAGGCAGGGGCAGGTGGACCTCTGTGCCTGGTCTACATAGGGAGTTCCAGCTGGGGCTACAGGGAGACCTTGTCTCAAAAAAAAGGTCACCCCCCCCCTCCCCCCCGCAGCAAAAAAAAATCCTAAACAAAGCAAAACCTTAGAGTGGAGCATCTTTAATCCCAGCACTTTGGAGGCAGAAGTAAGTGGTTCTCTGTGAGACTGAGGCCAGCATGATCTATATAGCAAGTTCCAGGCCAGCTGGGGCTATAGAGAGACACTGTCTCAAAAACAAACAAACAAACAAACAAACAAACAAACAAAAAAAAAGGGGATGTAAATCTCCCTTCCCATCAAGGAAATAATCTGTTCCATTGCTTGGGCTAACATAGTGGCCAAGAAATGACAGTGCACAAGTTATCAACAACTGGTTACATAGCTAGAGATTCAACAATTTCTTGTTATAGAATGTATTCTGTAAATATTTTTAAATGAAAAAATGTTTTGCTGACCCAGGAAATAGCTCAGTAGGTAAAAACATTTACTGTCCTGAATCTGAGTTTGAACTCCAGAAACCAAAGTGGAAGGGGAGAAGAGATTCCCAAAAGTTGTTCACTGACTTCGACAAGTGTAGTCACACACGCATGTCCACACTCTCTCTCACACACAAATAATAATAAATAAAATAAAAATAAAGAAATGCTTTGCATTATACTAAGAAACAAATACCTCCAGGGAAAGATGGGTAATGGTAATGTGAGGACTAGGGAGTCAAAACAACTGGACAGTCTAAGGACTGCAGGCCTGGGGAATCTAATCCCATAGCTTCATATCCCTCTAAAAAACAAATAAAACACAAACAAAAAGAAAGAGGCTACATAGCAAGAATTTTAACTAGTGTCCATGCACAAAACCAACATCACTCCAAGCATTTTAAACAGAAAGATATTTTGTACTGGGAATTAGATAATTCTGGAATTTTTGAAGTGCTAGAAGGTGCAGGGCCTAGGCTGGGCCCTCAAGAATGACTCCCAGAACACTGGCAACTGTCCATTAAGAAATGTACCACTGTAGTGCTGGAAGGTGCTACCAGAAGGAAAAAATAATCATTAGCCTTACCCAGCTGTGACTCCTGTGAACTACAATAACTGGCCTGGCAAGATATGCCCACCAGTGCAATAGTGGCACAGATATTATGGGAGCAATCAACCACTCTCTAATTGGATTTAAGGTCTGCTTCATAGGATGGAGTCCATACCTGACAGTGATATTAGGCTTAGGAATCTGAAGCTGCACAGGTCATAGGACAAAGGGGAGAGCCTAATAATAGCTTTCTACTAAACAATGTATTAAATTGACTCCTAATGACTTATTTTTATACCCTAGATTAAAGCAGCTCTCAATTTTTACCAGAGAATTTTCCTTATGCAGCAGATGGTGATTGACACAGAAACCCACAACTGGCCAATGTGTGGAGAACAAGAGGTTGCAGAGTGCTCATTCTTAAATAAGATACGTATATTAAACTTCTGTCTCCTAAGGCTCAGGAATCATTGTGGAAGAAGAGGCAGAAAGATTTTAAGAGTCAGAGGTGGTGGATAATCACAAGGAAACAGAGTTTTCTAGATAGCTGATCATTTAGTCATATGAACTCAGCAGTGGCGGCAACACGCACGAGTCCCATGCAAGTGCAAACTAGACAAAATCCTAGCATAGAGAATGCGGAAGTGGGTAAGAAACCCCAATCCAATCACTGGAACTTTTGGTAACTTAAATTGGGTGGGTGGGGGCTTAAAGGGAGGTGTGGATAGGGGAGGGGATCTAAATATCATCAAATTATACTGTACGAAATTTACAAAAGTCAATAAAAAGATTGTTAAAAAAAAGGAAATATACTACATTGCCACAAACAAGACAGAGATAAAACAGAATAAGTTCAACTAACTCCCTCAACTGACTTTCGAGACAGAGTCTCACTATGCAGTTTAGACTGGACTCAAACTTATGACTCTCCAGAGCCAGACTCCTGAGGACTGGCTTACCAGTCTGCACCACCATGCCCTGCCCATCCAGCTACTTGATGACAGTCACAGGCCTGGGGATTCAACACAACAAGGCTGGATCTTCAGATCTCAGGGGGTGAGTGCTTCCCAACACTAGCAATTCTAAAGGCTGACACTGCCATCACTTGGCCATCAGAAAGATGGCCTTTGAAGCCTCCAGCAAGTCATCTACTTGCTGGACCCTAGTTCTACATCCAGACCAACTGAATGGAAGTCTGTGGAATGCTTTAACTTTTCCACTGTCTGCTGGACAAGGAATTCATAAGAGAAACAGATGATGCCAACTTCCACATTCACACAGCAGCTTTGCATACAGGACCTAAGACCCAAACATGAGTCACTAACACCATTGGATTTACTCTATAATATTTCCTGTGGAAGCTCCAGAAACCATCAGGATGAAGTTGATAGGGTCATAATCCCAAAGATTTCATATGGTAGAAAAGACGTTGCATGCAGTAGACACTTGGCTCACATCCCTAGAACAGCACAGATCCTAAGTACCTGATTACTTGTTTAGGAATGTTCTGATCTGGGTTTGGATTTTGAACTTTTCCAGGGTAGAAACTGCATGTAATTCCTATTTGTGTCTCCTGTCCCTATGCCTGCTTGGCTCTGAGAAGACATAGCAGGTATCTGTTGAATTGAAATGCTTCATTCCTGACTTGGAGAGAAAACACGCCAGCATCCATGAGAGTTCTGTGCAGCAGCAATGACCGCCCAGTGGGGGCCCCGTTTCAGAGGGAGTGGGTCTTTTAGGAACAGAGTTGACCTGTCTCAGGCACCTGCTGCACCTCTGTCTGCTGAGAAGCTAAAGGATGGGGCAGCTTTCAGCTGTTAATATGTTTGGTGTTAGAAGTCACACCAGAGTCTAGAACAAGATAACCAGGGCGGGGTGAGAGGCCTATACCTGATGGGTAAAAGAGCCACAGCTCAAGGCCTTTGAGCAGTGGTGGTACGTCCAGTGCACAGACTGGATGATTCTCAGCACCTCCAGGGTGCGAACCCAGTCCATAGATTGAAAACTAAAACATATGCAAGGCAAACCTAGTTTAAACCAGATCGAGAGAGAGAGAGAGAGAGAGAGAGAGAGAGAGAGAGAGAGAGAGAGAGAGA